AATTTTAAGCATTTCCACAAAACTAAACAAGACACAAGCCAAGTAACAACACCCAACCTTCTCTTCTCTGAGCAGGTGCAATCACCTCAACTTTCTCCTGCTCCTGACCCACCTAAGCTAAGAAATTTCTACTTCAAGAGTGATCCTAATAATATATTTTACTGTCGAAATACTTTCAGGAGGCCAGGCAACTGATCACTACCTAACAAGATCAGGCAAAACACCGCTGAAGCACATTTTCAATATTACAGTAGGAAAAACAGAATATACCGACATACTGAATTCTTTCAAATCCTTCACTCCTTAATTAAAAAAACTCCAAGTAACTTCTACCACTAGTTCACCAGCAAGAACAGACTAAGGACAATTATGGCTGGTTGCAGGGAATCCTCTCCCTACTATTTAAAACCACTAGAAGAAGTTGCCCAAATTGGTACCAAAAATAGCTCACGTCCCAGTAACCATGTGCAGGGAGATCCCAGAGGCACAGGAAGCCAAAACACAGCTTAGGGCTTGGAATCAAACTACATGTGATTTTCAGGAAGCTTGACAACACTGACGTGCTGCAATCATGGACCTGTCACGGCTGATCCCCATCAATATTTTAAATATATTTATCCAGCATTATTTGAAAGCACATAAGCCAACATGCCAAAGGTTGAATTCTCTTTCAGAGCAGGGGACATAAGACCTTTCTTACGTCAAATGCTACCGAGTGACACACAGACGAATAGCGAAAACTGACATCTGACAGCTATTAATAATAGCCAAAAGGAAAGCTATAACAATGATACCATAAATAAAACTTGTCAATGTAACCAGCCTTTCAAATATAACCTGTGTGTTAAAAGGGCAGTTCACTTGCCTCGATGCTGTTAACCTAGATCAGAGAGAGGGGACAAGGGGGAACTAATCACTGTCACACACAGCTTTCAGAACAGAAGTACACTGAAAATCACTCTCAGAAGTTTTACACTACCAAGTACTGACAGCTAAGGCAGGAGAAATTTAAAGCAGAAGGGTAAAAACAAGGAGTTATTTCCCAAAAGAACCCCTTAATCACAGCTGCTTACTGTAGGTGATGGCCTTCCTAGGAAATGCATTCACTGGCCCTTTTTCCTTACACTGCTTGTCAGATGCGTTTGATTTATTTTAGTTATATGGAAAGCAACTGGAGTACAGACTAGCTAGAGGACAACTGGAAAACTGCACAAAGGTTTGCACTGAAGTTACTCTGCATAAGGAAGATGCTGACAACCTGAACGGCTGTGTGTATGGTAGACTGTTAATTTGGTTAGCAAATTATGTGTACACTTTAGAAATGCAGATGTTAAAGAACATGCTCTAACTTTTACTTTTTCAGAAGTCATACTAAGTATTTAACAGAAAACAGTTACCTCTACATGATATGCTGGAGGCACAAGAAGCATTTAAAGAAAGCTAAAGCTGCTGATACAAAGATCATATTTATCACTATTTAGCAGCCCCCTGTGTCTGAATCAGTAAAATTTCTCAAGAGATTGCCTCTCAACACAGTTACTAACAGCTTGCATGCCCTCTTATTACATTCACCCACATTCTTACAATCCCCATTAGACTGGGGTCAGAGAGCAGGGTGATGCAGCAAGAACATTCCTGTATTTGAAACCTTTAACTTTCAACTGTTTTTTTTTTTTTTCTTCTTTTACAGTCTAACGAATACCAAAACCCTACATTATATATACAATACACTTAATGCTGTTTCACTGTAAAATAAAATGATGCAAAGAGAAAAAATAGAAAGCCACTCCCATTTCACTTTTAAAATCCTTAAATTATTTACAATCACTAATAAGCCAAAAAATCCAACCAAAAAAAAAATCAAAACATGATTATGTCCAAAGAAGCAGTACTCTTACCTATTTATGCAACTAAAGTCAACATATGTGCATTTTTGACTGTATAGCATTAAGGCAGCAGGCTAAAAAACATGCAGTACTCTTCTGTTCAATAACACCTCTGCACAATAATATTTATTTTCATAAAAGGAGAATCTTTGTCCTACAACTCTTAATCAAGCCACTTCTCATGTGTACAGCATTTATTTCAACCAGACTACTCTTGCAGCCCTGAATTTGCAGGACTCTACTTGCTAACATCATATCTTACAGTTCATGACAACAATAAAATTATCTTTAGTAAACAAACTCTACCACGCCTATCTATAGAGTAGTTTTTCACCCCCCTCAACTATAAAAACCAGTCCTTCAATGAATCATGAAGACAAAAGTTATCCTACAACAGCAAACTTGGCACTTGCTGCATTAGGGAGAAAGTCTTAAACATGCGTTTCTATTTCACAGATCCACATTTATCTGTATGTATTCTCTTTTGGAACAATCTCTAGATCATGACACTTTCATCCAAATACTGAATTAATTCATGAAAGTAGTAAAATATACATATATAAGCATGATCTATAAACTAAAAAAAATACAAAAATTAAATGGAAAAGTAAGCTTGAAATAAGTCACAAATGTACCTTTACAATTTGAGGCTGTAAAGAATAAGGTTTCATTTCCTAATACAAAATCAAGAATTTAAATTCTTACCTGACATCATCTAAGAATTGTATCAGTTGTTAATACTGGGATTTCTCTTATTTGACATCACCCATTAGTAAGTGCACTTTAATGGATGCCATTTGTTTGCTAGGACACCACTTTCAACATTTTATCTAACATACATTTTCAGAAAATCAGATCTGCAAGTACTAAAAAATTCAACTCTGCCTTATCTATGTGCCTTGCCTTGACCCTAAGGTTTTACTTAAACACCTCTAGCCCTCTTTGGTGAAGACAAGCCACTATAAATGCTCTAAATGTATGAAACCAGTGTTTGTACTCTACCATAATTGCTCTTATGGGGCTTTTGGCTCTGTCATATCATGCCTCACCTGAAATGGCAGTTCCATCTCTTTACTGCTCTGAAACTAACCTGCATCCACTAACCACAACAGAGAAACTTAAAAGCCATCACACCTTTTGAATATAGCAAACATTTTGCCAATGAGAATTTTTGTAAACTAAAGGGCTTTAGGATACTATGGATAGATCCTTCTGCCACTCTGGGCACATGTCTAATCACTACGATTAAAGCTCAACCCTAGATTTAAGGGAAACAGAACAAAGCTCTAGCTGAAAAATTATTTCATCACTTCATCTCATAAAAACATGCTTCTAGGTGAAAAGATGCTACTCTTTCTATAGACTACAACAGAGGAAACTGAACCAGCTTCTCCAGCTAAAAATTTCTATACACCAGTTTTCATTTAGCATTTAAGGGACTTCCTCTACGTGAGCTTCCATGAAGAGCAAAACTCAGGCACCCCAAACAGCACACAGCCGATTTGCATTCAGAAGCAAGAATTTGGGACTCAGGCACACAACACTGTCACTGTTGTTTTCAACAAAATTGGTGGCACTAAAACTCTTGGGAAAGTATTATTTAGAAACTGAGCTGATATAAAAGACATTTAACAACACTGGGATTCCTATTACCCACTGAGATTAGTCAACAGTATTTAGATTAGAGGCTAAAAGCAAGAGCACTGCCTTCTGAGCTAAAGAACCGATTCCATTCTGCATGCTGATGACTGCACACAAAGCAATTAATCTGCAGGATCTCAGCACCGATTACACTGCTGTCTTTAAATACTTCCCTTCTTTCAGACAGGCATCCCTAAAATAATTCAATATACAAGTATCAGAACTGAAGATCTGAATATTTAAGTTCTCCTTATTTCAGGAGAGAAAGAGGAATTTGCAGTCTCAGTTCTGAAACAGATTCCTGTGTTGTGGGTCTGGTTTTAGAGTCACTTTGCCAAGTGTATTAACCTCATCTGACCTTAAGCTGTTAGGCACATCGAAGCTTCAGATATAGTATTTCTCAAACAAGCACCAACCCTTTCAGTAACTCTTAGCACAGCCTGAATTAGAACTTAATGATGCTTCTGGAACCATTCGCATCAATTTAGCCAAAAGACAATCCCTGATGTCTGGTTAAGGATATAAAAGGTCCTTTCGGTTATCAACAAGCATTGTACTGACGCTTCACGTCAAAACCGAGCTACAGCTATTTCCCTTAGTAGGGACAAAGCCGAAGCCAGGACGTGCTGCTCAGCAGACTCACCCATAATGAGCAGTTTTGCCATTTATAAACACCGGTGCCTATGAACATAAGTATTTCGAATGAGGCGAGAGGAAAAACATGCGGCTGTCTTTTCTCGAGCTACTTTGAGAAAACAGCTTACGAGCCATACGTATCTCTGGCAGACCAGTTCATTCCCCTCAAAACAGGCGAATTTCATAGGGAAAAAAAAAAAAAGACAGCTTATGCTCGCAGCCGCACGATTCGCGGTTACGCTGGTTTTTCACCACAGCGTCAACACTTTTCAGGCGACTCGCTCCAAGAACGACACGGAGTTTCACGGGGCGAGCGAAGGGCCGGGGGAGCGCGGCCCCGCCAGCCCGCCGGGGCAGGAAGCGCCCTCCGCCCGCCCGCCCGTCCCGTCCCGTCGCCTCGGCGGAGTCACGAGTCCAGGAGTTTCGGGCACTTACGTAACGCCGCGGAGCCACCGCCGTTGTTGCTTCTCCCCTTTCCCGAAGACGAACTCGTTTCCGAGACCCCCCAATTCCCTCAGAGCCGGGGGACAAGCCAGCGCCCGCCGCCGTCGCTTCCTTCCCCAAGTCCTGCCCGCCCCACCGCCTCCCTCCCTGCCGGCGGGACGCGGCGCTGCCCCAGCCCCGCGGCGGGACAGCGGAGCCCAGCGCCGCCACTCGCCGGGGAGCTCCTTTCCCCCCAGGCAGCCCCCGGTTCCCAACATGGCCGCGGGAGAGCGGCCGGAGTCCCGGCGGAGAAGGGCTCCGCGAGGAAAAGTTTCCCTCTCGCTCCCCAGCCGGCCCGACTCGAGCCGAGCCGACCTCCGACAGCCCAGAACGCGGCCGGACAGCGCTGCTCACCCGGTACAACCCGCTCCGGCCGCCGCCTGCCCCGCTCGCCGCACGGCCGCGGTCATACACCCCGCGCCGGGGGACGGGCTCCGGGACACCGCCCGGCGGGGCGGGGCCGCCGCCATCTTGGGCGGGAAGGAGCAGCGCCTCAGCCCGAGCTGCCCAGAGAGCCGCCCTGAGGGGGAGGGACGGCGAGAGGGCGGACCGGCGGCCGCTCGGCCGATGCCGACCCACGAGTGGCACCTCGTGGAAGGGAAATACTCCGGGCACGAGACCTGCCTCGTGGGGTTTCTTAAAGAGACAGAACGTTTCCATTCTCTGTGGGCGATCGTGGGTTTGTGCTCGTGCCCCTGGCGCTAAATGTGCTCGCTTAGGGGTAATTTAGGATGGGCGCGTTTTAAACCACCTCTCTATGCAGCACGTGGAAGGGAATTAGTAACATATTTCAGTCTGAGAAGTTGCTGGTCAGCCTGGAGAAATTATGGCAGGTCTGCTACAAGGGCTCCCACCAGAATCACTGTCAACACAAGGAGCTCCTTCCACCTTCTGTCTCAGAATTTTTTGTGTGTACATATCGCGTCATCCAGATCAGTATTTTCCAAATCTAGCTGGCTGCTTGGCAGTTCACCTGATCCTCTAGGATTTCCAGCCGTTGATGGATGCTGTCAGAGGGGAAGGGTGGCTGCGAAGGTTCTGAAGAGCTGTGGAGCAAGGAGGGGTAAGAGGGTACGGCACCATTAACTTCTATGGTGTTGCTCTGGAAAATGGCCCAAAAATTTCACTTGCATGTAACATGGCAGTTTCATTATTCAAATTTCATATTATTGAGCAATAATGTGGTTCGCTTTTCTGGGGATTAAAAATAGGTAGTGGGGCTTTCCAGTAGAAATCATGAACCCACTGAGCTTTCTGACTTTTAACTGAGTTTTCTATCCCAGCTCAGCCACAGATAGGCAAGAAGCAGATCACTAAGCTGGGTTTCTCCTGCAGTGTAAGAGAAACACAGGAAAGGGAGCAGGACGTGGAGGTCAGAGCACCCTACAGCATGACAACCTGGTCTTCCACTTCTCCCTAAAATTCATCCAGTGTGTCAGCCTGAGCCGTCATGTAATTATTCTTAATGCACTGATTTATATAAGGTGTGAGCCAAGCTGTTTAACATGAGTTTTTTAGAAACAGGTGCTTTTGACTGTTTAAGCCACAAGTATGAGAGTGTGTGCAGCAGGGTGTATTTGGCAGGTTCTTCATGTGTAAAGAATTCAGCCATAGCCAATATTAAATTGGGCACAAATGTCTTCATTTTGTGAATGCCAGTTGCAGAGAGATCTCCACACCAGACGATCTTTTATATATGGGCTGGGCTGGTTCTTGTGAACCAAAAAGATCCTTTTGTGTTGTAAACTTCTGTAGATTTAACTTGTCCTCTAAATCAATTTTCTTGGCATCAGAAGCAGCTTCATGGTTAATGAAATTTTCTTTTATGATTATAAATAATTTTATAACACCCAGTCGAGTTTAGATGCAGCAGAAAGTTGGATACAAAGTGAGGCAGTCCTAGTGTTTCTGCCTGTGTGTCTGTGTTTTAATTCTCCTCATGAAGTGCAAACTGATTAGTTAGAAACAACTAACATTGTTCTCTGAAAGGTTTGCAAAGTGTAACTAACAGCAGTGAGAAGCTGCTTTTTCTACCATATGTAGTAATAGAAAACCAGCACAAAACCTTAGCTCTGGTTAAGAGAAGAATAAGTAACCTGTTGTCTGAGGAAGGCTTGGAACTAAAAATGACAATGTTATCATGCGAAGCAACCTTAGTGCTATGAAAGCCTTCCATAATTTATTTCTGTTATTTTCCTATATCTTCAGAATTCCTTTTTTCCTACTGAATGGGATTTTTTTACTCTGTTCAGCAAGAGGAGAAAATAAACCTGAAAATGGTCTGTTTGCAAATCCTCAAACACTTGTTCCTAAGTCTATTAAAAAAGTAAACATTTGATCTAATTTTTAAGTAGTGTTGAAAAACTTGGCTAAATGCCAGTGATTCTTGCTTTGTGTTCACGATATTGAAATGTCATACTGATCATGTGTGCCGGTTTCAATGGGGCTTTTTGTGTTCGTCTATCTTTGCTTTTACATGTTAACTTTGTATCTTAGTACTGCAGAAACAATCGTGCAAAAAACTGGCTGTAAAGAAGATGCATAGAAGGCAAAGGATGGGAGATCAGGGGGTGTTCTACTGGAGAAAGTAGACATTAATTTATTTTACTATTTCACATAGAGTGATTATTTATTTGTAATTTTAATTCAGCTGAAAAAAGCTTCTTCCAAAGCATAGTGCAGTCTAAAGTGACATTTATTTTTGCTCTCTAAATATAATCTTACTGTCAGTTATGCTAGAGCTGTTTTTTAAGGGTGGAGGAAATACCTTCTTCAGAAAATATGGAATAGCAGTGATATGCTGCAACACATCTTATACTGTGCTTCCTGAATTGCCTTATGATTTTTGAATGGACACTTTACACACAGCTGTTTCAGGGCTTGCATTTTCACTTCAAATCTTCACAGGGATCACATGAACATTGAAGCAAATCTGTCTGGTGTTGAGCCAATGCAAATAGTTGTTTCAGTAAGGATTTTTACTTCATCATTTCAGTGAGACATTTGCACTATTTATGAAAGCTTCCAGTAATGGGCTCTCTACAGCTCCCTTGGCTTACAGGTTTCTCTCAAGCAATTTGAAAACTGATGTAAACCTTTCCTTTGTGTTGACATTGAATTTCTAATGGAACCTTATTGAGGCTGCAGCTTTCTTTAACATACAAAAGTGCTCCAAAATTTTCTGCACTGTTGAATGGGGGGGGGGGGGAGTTAGCAGTAGTAAAAAGTAGTTTTAAGAAAATTAAAAAGTAATATTTTTAAAAATCTTTAGAAACCAGCATATATGTAGGTTCATATATTTACTGTGAGGCAAAATTATCTTTTAAAGGTGTTTTGCCTTTAAAAGTTAGAGTTGGAGATTTTTTCCTTTAGAGTTCCACATACGATGAATTACCTACTGGTAGTCAACTGTAGTTTGCTTCATGGAAGTCCACTTGCCTCTCCCACAAACTCTGTGTATTTTTTCAAATGCTCAAGCATCAGTTTTACATTTGACAGAACCTGCAGCCAGAATTTTGCAGTGTTTTATTGTGCTTGGGCTAAAATAGGAATCTGTCCACTTACACAGCTGAATTCCATGTTACAAAATGAAATTATTAGAGATTTAATTATTATCATTATATATTCTTGGTCAGCAAAATTCAGTCATCATATATTGAAATGGGACTTTAAATGCTTCACTTTCAGTAACTTTCAAAAGTACTACAAACAATGAAAATAAAATCTTTATGTCTTTTGCTTTTTTATTAAATGAAATTCATTTTGAAGCAGCAGCATCTTGGCTTTCTAGCTGATGGAAATGCAGAAGTGCAGAATACCTTCCCAGTTTTTGATTACTTCTTTTATATCACCTGCAAAGGGAGACCCAGAAACTTCAAGCTATTTCAGGGGCAATTAAATGCTTTACTCTCAAATCTTGCCTTTTGTGAAAACGAGAATGAATATGCATAACTGGTGATTTCTAAGTTATTCTGGTCTCAGCCTCTGTGCTGGAAGCTTGTTTGGCTTCACTGTGTTGTAGCCACCTCTTTTGGTTTGTCAGAGCTTTTGGATGTGTCCTTCTGGGATGTTACTGTCTTTTTCTCTATGATCTGTACATACACATTATCCTCTTTATTCATTTAATTTTCTGCCTTGTTGAATTGTGTAAAAACCCTTTTGACTTTTCTCACATTTTGGTTTTACTGTTGTCTTATCCATGAGGTGTTTTGCTGAGGAGAGCAGAGCTGTGTGTTTTATGCATGGGGGTTGCAACAGACACTTTTCCATTAAGATTTTTTTCTTCAGTGGTTTTTTTTTTTTTAATTGCAGAGATTTCCTATTCTATGGTGCACCAGGGACTGGAAAGACACCGGTAGCTTGTGGACTTGCTAATGAATGTAGCCAGGGTAATGGGGGATTAATCTTTGTTTATGAGAAATGGTGTCAAGTGCTTGAGTGAATGGGTAGGAGAATATGAATGACAATTTTGTTTAATATTTGAGCAGGTAAGATTGAAATGTGCCACATGTTCTGTCTGAGTTGTAACTAATTTTCTGTGGTCAAGAAGAAATTCTTTTTCATGTTTTGTCAGGTCCTTCTACTGAAATGAGACTGTCTGTTTCCTTTTCCAGTGGGGTTTTGGGGGGGGCTGGAAATCTTGGGATGTACTGGGAAATATTAAAAATTCAAACAAAATTTTTCAAAGCACCACCATCCCCCTCAAAAAAACCCCAAACTAACCAGTTCCAGTGCTCTTGTAACCATAATGTTTTTCATGTATGTTCTCTTTCAAATAGTGCTGTTTTCCTGATGTCAGTGTTTTCTTTGTGGGCTTACCAGATGCAACCTTCAATTCTTCAATTATTTTCCTGGTTGAGATTGATGCTCTTGTTCCCATATGTACCAGCAAACAAGACCAGGTTCATAGGTAGGACATGCCTTGTATCTTGTGTAGACGGTGCTTGATCTTTGTGAAAAGAAGACTGCAACCTATTTAACTTGATGTGACACCTTCATTTAACCTGAAAACTAGTAATTCAGTGCTAGTGCATTTCAGATGATTTTTAAATGAGAATTGAAAACAATTCACTAAGCTTGAAATCAGCCCAAGGTCTGTGTTATCTTATCTGTATCTAATGTCTTAAAATTAGTCTTTTGCAAATCAGCATCTCATCATTAAAAGCTTGTCCTTTTTGAGGGATCAGTGGAGATAGTTATGTGGAACTGAAGAAAATTTATTAAACCAGTGAATGAAAATGTATTTTTCTGTTAGCTCTGTTGTAGGAACACTTCTGGCACTAATGGATGGGCTTCACTGGCAGAAAGGTTGGGGTAATCAGAGCCATCAGCAGACTGGAATCTGTAGATCCTGCTTTACAAAGACTGGACACTTTGTGCGAGA